CCTGTTGTTTTGAAAAAAAAAAGAAGCTACTTCTCAGAGTTAGGGTAGCATCTGCCAGAAAGAAGCCCACTCATTTCACAGTGACATTCCTGGCTGTCCTTTCTTGTCTGCAGACCCAGGAAACATGACTGGGGGAGGGTGGATCTGGGGAGGAAGCCCTAAAAGCCTTTCTTGGACAGGCGGTGGTGGCGCACGCCTTTAGTCCCAGCACTGGGGAGGCAGAGACAGGCGGATCTCTGTGAGTTTCAGGCCAACCTGGTCTACAGAGTGAATTCCAGGACAAGCCCCAAGGCTACACAGAAAAACCCTGTCTCAAAACCAACAAAAACAACAAGCATTTAGAAGCCTTTCTTCATGTTCAGCCTGCATGAGTGGACACTGCCCTAAGTCTCAATTCAACATGAACCCAGTTTGACCCAGTTTGACCTCTAAAAGATCCACAGCTGCCTGATGCCCAAACGTGAGAGGAGACAGATTTTTTTGGCAGGAGAATTTGTAGCACAGAGAGGCCACATACTTGGCACACCTGAGTTTCACAGTAAGTGCCCAATGAACAGCCTCCAGGGCCTGAGAAGCCAATGGCCCTGCAGCTGTCTTGCTCAGACCTAGCCCTTGGTTGTTATCGCTGTGAACTCTGGCAGGTGAAGGAAGGTCAGATCTATGTGTTTAGGTGACAGAGGAGGTCAGGGGGTAAGCAGACAGTGAAAGAAGGGAGAGCTATAGAGAAAGTGAGAACACCAGAGTGGGGACTGCTGTGTGGTTGGGGGGAAGGACATGGATTAGGCCTGAGTGTCATCATAGCTCTTCAAACTAATCGCAACTCAAAGCACAAAGAGCAGCCAAGCAAACTGACCATAAATGATTAATGTCTAGAAAAGAGGCAATCTACAAACATGGGTACCAGTGTCTGGAAGAGCCTAAGGCCATTCTCCAGCAGCACTGGGCACTTTAAGAGCTCAGCCTTTTTTGTTGCCAGAGCCTTGGGGACTGGTAGGAAATGACACTCTTTCACTTCAAGAACAGGAATCTCCTGGGTTGGGGCTGTGGATCTCAAAGGCTGATCTCACCCCAGCTTTGAAAACATGGCAGATTTATCCAAAGGACTCCAAAGCTGGGATGCCAACAAAGAAACAAGATGAAGATTGCACAATGGTGACAGAAGCTGCCGAGTGACTCCACGCTTCCCAGAGCATCCTAAGCCACCAGAAATGATTCTAATCAGCGCTTAACTGCATGAGCTGATTGAGATGCGCTGCAAGCAGACGCACAGCACGTTAGCCCAGCCCCCTGCTTCCAAGCAGTCCTTTCATCACAAGTATGTTTTCAAACTGGAGAACGGCCCCTCCCCTGGGGAGTTCTTGTTTCACCCAGACAAAGCCTAGCTAGGAGTTCAACAAATAAAATGCAAATGAGAATGGAGAAAATTAATTAGAAACAAAGATCAGAATTTCTTTTCATTAACTCTTAAAAAAAAAAAGAAAAGAAAAACCTTCCCTCACAAAGCAGCCTTGGAACATGCTAATTTGCTCAAATTAAAATGCAATTCTCCGTGTGTTTTCTTCGCAGTGACCTTGCAGCCCTAAAAATAATGGGTTGGTCAGCCCAGAGACCATGGGGCTTAAAGGGCATTTACCCCTCCCAAGCAGGTCAGAATTACGTCAGAAAGCACGTGCCTGATCCACAGCTGTAAAATATTCTTCCCTTAGGATTCGGGAAGTAAGCGCACGCTCAACAAGGAAACGGCACACTGTGTGGTTGCTGACCTCTTTGGGACAGGCATCAAGTCTCTGGAAATATGTAGAATAATTATTATAGTGTTACTTTACACTGTGTCCGTATGGATATAGTCTCAGGGTCCTGGGAGGAAGCTTCCTCCCCACCCCCAACAGGCAGGGTCTCATGTAGTCCACCTACCACAAACTCCCTTTGTCAAGGGTGACCCTGAACACCTGACCCTCTTCCTGTGGGGTTCCATCCCCAGCATCACAGAAACTCATGTGGTGGCACAATGGTGCATGCCCGCTACCCCAGTAAACAATTACTCTAGTTCTTTTTCAAATGCATTGAATGCTACTTGGCGGAGGTGGAGCATACCTGGAATCTGAGAACTGAGCAGAACTCCCCAGGTTCAAGGCCAACCTGGGGAGATTTTGTCTCAAGATAATACAAAGGCGGTGCCTATGTAGCTCAGTGCATAGCACTGCCTGGCAAAAACACAGTGTTTTATTTATATTATTTATATACATATGCAAGCTTTTCTTCCTGTTTTTTCTTTTGCCTTGTTGGAGGTGGGGATTTCAGGCAAGTTGTCTGCCACTTTACATACCTTTGAAGGGACCAGCTCCCCATTTCAGCAGCCATGACAGTAACACGTGCTCGCTATGACCTTGCCTTGGTCACTAGAGGTTAGGTGCCTGCCTCATGGCAAGGAACCAATCAGAAGTTAGCTGGTGGTGCTATGCTTTACAGCTCTGGGTGTGCTTTACAGACAAGTGTGCAGCAATGACGCACAGAGCATAGCAACCACCCTGGGAGGGCC